TATATATTCATTATATATATTATATTATATTATATATTATATTATATATATTTTCAGCCAACGTTTAACAGCAATTGACTTACCTTAAATTCTTCTTTCTTATCAATGTCTTTGATATCAAACCATTCAATCTTAATACCTGTGGTTAAGAAATATTTCAAAAAATTGAATGATAAAAACGCTTTTAAATCTTCATTTGTATAAAATATCTATTTTTACGTTGAAACAATCGAATATATTGTAGTGACAGGACTAACATCCAGTTACGATGATCTATTTACATTTTTCGAGAACGTTGGTTAGTAGTTACTTTCATATTGAGTCTTTCTTAGATACAACTCAAACTACAATAACGTCCTTGAACAAAATGAAATGCATGTTACCTTCCAACTTTGTTGCCTGAAGAGGTCGAATGCTAACACCATGAGCTGGGTAACTAATGGGAGACATGCCATGTACCTGATTGAAGACGTAGTTTGCATCCATTTGTCTAAAAAAAACGAAAAAAACGAAAGTGTAGCAAAATACAAATCTTATATTTGTACACATTTTCAATAATACAAGAAGAACAAAAGAAAGCATTTGCTCACGAGCAAATGAAACATATTTCAGTCAATCTTTCTTCCCATTGCAATATGGACTGTTCATATTTGCCAAAACAGTGATTAACCTCCTGTGGGGTTGTTTACAAGATGTCCCCATACAAAATGTCAGGTAATTTAGTTTTGATATTAAGGCACAGCGCCAAAAATTACATTTCTGTCTAAAAATAGAAAAATTATGATTTTACACCATTTTGCATGTTCCCAAGGGCAGGGGTGAGAAAAAATAAGTACATTTTTGTCTCACCTCACGTCAACTATCCCTTGACCTAGTTGATGGTCGTTAGAGCACCATTACTTAGTCCTCAACGACCCTCAGATATAATAAGGGATAGTCAAAGTCTATTTTTGACTGAAAATACAAAAATCATATTTTATAAGATCTTACAGGGATGTATACCAAAGTTGCGAAAAACCATTCTTTCGACACGTGTTCAAGGATCCTCCATACCAAATGTTTAGGTCATTTGGTTTTATTTTTAAGACAGAGGATAAAGAAATTGCATCTTGTCTTAAAATAAAAAAACGCCCATTTGTGTTGTGAACAAATTTCTCTTGGCTAAAGTGTCCAAGGGTCCTCCATACCTAATTCCAGGTCACTTTGTTTTAGTATTTATACACAGGGGCCATAGTCAAAAATAGCAAAAAATGTCCAATATACAAAATGTTAAAGTAGCTCCATTTTGCCTGTTCATGCATCTCACAGTCATAATACCAGATCTTCCGCACATAACTTTAGATTACCAATACCTAAGTCCAATAGCAGAAAACGCTCATTCCTGTACCGTGCAGTCGTGCTCTGGAACGATCTACCATCTGACGTTAAGACACTGTGCGATGTTATCAGTTTTAAGAAAGCCGTTTCAAACAGTAGTAGTGTCACCTGATCCTTGACCCTTGCTCGCTACTTTTAAATTGTTAATATCTATGTGTATTTATTGTTGATGTGGTGTACATGTATGTATGTATGTATTTTTAAATGTTTCTACTATGTTGTGATTATGTCATTTTAATTGTTTGAGCCTTGGAAGATTAGCCCTTCGGGGCTAAAAGGTTTCGAAATAAATGAATAAATGAAATAAATGTTTGAAAAAGTTGTAGAAATGTGGAAAATAGGGGAAAAGTCTCATTTTACACAAATTTTAAGGGGTGTATGTCAAATGTATGATCGGTATTCTTTAAGTATGTGTCCGAGGCAGGCTCATACTAAATTTTGTTTGTTTGCTTGTTTGTTTGTTTAAATGCAACAGTGCATAACAAGTGGCAACCAGGCAGCAACAAGGCTGGTAGCGGCTACCACTGACGCATAAGTGCATAAATACAAGGCATATCAAAATACAATATTACTTAGTACGTACAAATTCAATTCAATATTAAACAATAGCAATATACATACAAAGTACATACAAATTCAATCAATACAGAAGCAATACAATATATGTACAATACGAATCGATAAAATGATCAAAGTTGAAATGGAACGGTTGGAGGATTTTTATTTTCAATTGGTGTTTGAGTAGTCAGGATAAGAGGTGGTGTTTGCATTTTGCCTTGAATATGGAGATGGTGGCCGACCCTGTGACCTCGCTGGGTAAGCGGTTCCACAGTCGGGAGGTGTACAAAAGGGAACTGTCTCTGTAGACGTTTGTTCTGCACCGGAGGATGTGAAGGTGATGAGCGTTCCACAGTCGTCGCTGGGATCGGCTGTTTGCGACTCGGGTAGTCGGGATTAGTTGCTCGAGGTGAGCTGGGACGGGGCCGTTGACAAGTTTGTACATGGTAACTAGCCGATGGTAGTCCCTCCTGGTCGCTAGACTATCCCACCTGAGCTGGTGGAGGATCTCTGAGTAGGGTGTGCGCGCAGCAGAACCCGAAACGAGATGCCAACGTGGTTTTCCACTCGCTCCAGGATCTTGGATGCCGCAGCAACGATATTGGTAAGTAGGATGGAGGCATATTCCAGCTTAGGACGAATAAGCGTGAAATAGACCAGTTCCAGGGCTTTTTGGGAGAATTTACCACGTAGCTTCCACAGGAGTCCCATTGTCCTCCTGGCCTGGTTGGAGGCAAGTTGGGCGTGTTCTGTCCAGCGTAGGGACTTCTCACCTTCTCACCCGATTGCCTGTAGACCATACTGGTCTGTCAGTTGAGAGTCCCAATCAGACTTCTCCAAGCTGTGCGGTTTCCGCACAGCTTTTCGGCTTCTTCAAAGGAAATGTTTGTTCTTTTGGCCAGGATTTTCTTCAGACCGTCAGTCCATCTCATCCTGGGTCTGCCGAGGGGTCTTTTTCCAGGAGGTTTCCACTCCAGAATACGTTTCACGCCCCTCGTGGCTGCCATTCTTTTCACATGACCAAACCACCTTAATTGGCTTTTTTCCACATAGTTGATGATTGGCTCAACCTTTAGGGAAGCTCTGATGGTGGTGTTTCTTATGTGGTCTCTTTTTGTGACTCCATATATCAACCGTAATACCCTCATTTCTGCTGCCTGGAGAATGCTTCTCCGTCTTTCAGTGAGCGTCCATGTTTCACAGCCGTATGTCAAAATTGGCTTTAGTATGCTAGTGTAAATGTGGACTCTCACTTCTGTTGGGATATTACGATCTCTCAACAGAGGGTATAGCGCACCAGTGTTTTTGGAAAATTTGGCTATTCTGTTGTTGATTTCTGTGTCAATGGTGGCAGCGTTATTAACAGTGCTTCCAAGATATGTGAACGTATCAACAGGTTTGATGGCGTGACCATTAACGTCCAGGTCACGAGTTACCAGGTCCTTGCCAACAGCCATGTACTCTGTCTTGTCATAGCTAAGTTTGAGTCCTTTCTCATTTAGACCATCATCCCATTTTGTAGTGAGGGACTGGTGCACAGTAAGACCCAGGTGTGTGTAGGCGGGTACCTGTTCAACGATCTGCCACGAGATGTAGATAGGGGGGAGCTGCACTCTGTTCTGTGGTAACTTAATGCAAATAACTTGCATTTGTCGGGGTGAACCTGGAGACTCCAGTCGTTGAACCAAGTTGACACAATCTGCAGGTCGGTGTTAACTGTACTAACTACCTCCTGGGGAGTAGGCCCCGACTTCGAGAATGATGTGTCATCGGGTCATTTGTTTTAATACCAATGCAAAGGAGCTACATTTTTTTGTCCTAAAATAGCAACGAAGTTCTTTTTCAACACACTTTCGTATTGGAATGTACCGAAATTGTAAAGGACGTTCTCTGGTTGAGTGTCCAAGGTATCCGAATATTAATTCTAAAATTAAAATTTAATAGTTTAATAACAGAGCTCCAGAATATCGTTAAAGAGGTTCATCAGTCACGTAGAGTTAACAGTAGTCTCGTGTTCTCGCGAGACTAGGTCACTCCGTGATCAAGGTGTACAGTCGACACCAAAAATTTGGAGGTACGTCATTTACCTTACAAAAAACAGTCACTGATCGAAGAATTTCTACTAACAGAGCTTCAGAAGCAAAAAATGTACATTTTTTGTTAGAAACCGGCCTGAAAACTAATTATAAGATTAAAATTGTAAATTTGTGTAAAGTGAAATAGTTTGTGTATCACAAATGATGATTGCCTATTTTGTTGTCAGAATTGAAGATGTGGGGCTGTAGCTTAAGATCAAGATCAGTTATGGGCATTTTAACGGTACTGCAGCAGTGTTGTCGCCATATGTATTTTTTTTATCTCATCTTCTAAACATCGAGATAAACGGTTTAAGGAATACCCCTGGACGTACTAATTTAGTAAGAAAACGACGAAAAAAGAATACATTTAATTGCCCCAGCAGCAACGACATATGTCCAAATCTTAGATGCCTTCACAGGTCAGCTTGTGTCTAATCATTTGTGTGTGTGTGTGTGTGTGTGTGTGTGTGTGTGTGTGTGTGTGTGTGTGTGTGTGTGTTTTGCCTTTGTACATCATTTTTTTACAATTGGCAAGGGCTAAAATCAAAAGGTTTAAAGAAGAAACTAGTCGATGGGTAATTTTTTATTTTCTAAAAGATGAAGATGAAAATAAACGACTGATAAACAGTTTCACTTTCAATATTTTCTAGTGTATGGTTATTTATAAATGTTGGTGTTGCCTTTCATTGAAAGGCAATATGCTGCTGCCACACCACGTGGCTACGATATGTTGTTGTTTTGCGATGCAGTTATCCCGGTTATACCGATACAGATTGCCTACAGCAAATATGTCATCATGTACACCTACCGCCTCTGGTATCTCTTCAAACTATCCAGCTGCTGCTGTTGTTTTTTAGACCAATCTTTCGTGGAATAGTAGTCCCAGTGCCAACGGATTTGGCAGTCACATGGTACCTTATTGATTAACCTGGATTTGAAAAAAAAAACAAGTGTAAGGAATCCTGGCATTAGATCATGCATACATCACTCGTTTTTAATCTAGGCAAGGAGCAAACACATTTTGTTCGCTACATAATAGTAGCGACAACTTCTACACACAGAATCCTTTATAGCATTTACAAACTGCATCACTAAAAATCCTGAATTCCGACCGATCGCGTGACGGCCAACAATTTTGTGATAATTTGTCTAGTTATCGATAACTTTTTACTACTTTGACACTTTACATCCTATCGCACAATTTACTATTTTTCGCTTGGCACTCTTTAACTAACTTTATGTGTTTTATTTATGTGCATCATTAAACTCCATTAGCGACACACAAGACATTGGTACAAAATCAAGTATGTAGCTAATCTTCCTGGAGTTAAAGTAATACCAATACACAACAATAGTACAAATACACTACATCGAAATTACAACATTATTTACATACAACATTTAACTTAACATTTGAAAGTAACATATCAACATGTGCCTATGTACGCATGTGCTCTAACAACTCCTGCCTAAACCTACTCTTAGTTGCTGCTTGTACCTCATGTGGCAAAGTATTCCAAACTGTTAAAGATCTATAGATGAAAGTCTTCTTGTGGTGGTAGGATACAGGACATAACTGTTTGTTGAGTACCTCTGGTTGATGTGTAGTAATGAACCTCTGTAGCTGAGAGACAGTGTTTATAAGAATCATTTCCTTGGCAGTCTGCCATGACAGAGACGCATGGAGCTGCTGTACTGGGGTTTTGAAGTCACAATGTAGAACCAGACGAGCTGCTTTGTTTTTCATGACTTGTAGTAGTTGAACATTTTTGTGAAGTGGAGGACCAAACTGGCGAGCAGTAGTCAACGTGTGACAGTGTGAGGCAGTCTACTAGCAGCTTAAGTAATGAAGAGTCCAGGTAGGTGGCACATTTCCTTATCATTCCCAATGCACAGACCATCTTCTTTGAAGTAGCTTTTGTATGATTGTCCCAAGTGAGGCACTCATCAAGAGTAATGCCTAGGAGTTTTGTTTCCTTTACTTGCTGGATGACTTGGCCATTAGAATATAAGGTGAGTACTAGGTTCTTTTTTATTTTTGGTTTACTTCCAACTACCATTGATTTTGTTTTGCCTGCATTGAGAAACAACCTGTTCATTAAGATCCAGTCACTTATGTGTTGTATCTCCTTCTGCAAGGTGGAGTTAATTGTAGAGATTGACGGTGCACATGTGTAAGCGGAAGTATCATCTGTATACATAACTGAGGCAGCCCCCTTTGTGGCTAGAGGAAGATCATTTGTGAATATACCGAAAAGAAGGGGTCCAAGCCAGCTCCCTTGAGGTACTCAACATGTGATATCCCTGAAGAAAGAGTTACGGCCATTGTAGTAAACACACCGCAAGCGTTGTGAGAGGTACCTCTCCATCCATTTAACTGCAGCCATATCGAAACCATAGCTTTGTAGTTTTCACCAACTTTAAACTTGGACACTCAAGTAATACGGACGATCATCATTTGTAGGTAGTTTAAGTGAAGATTAACATAATAAGATAACACTTATAAAAATCAGGACCAAATTTGCATGATGTTACAAGATAGGAATTTGTTTATTTGTTTATTAAAATTTACCAGCACATGCATGGAGGGGGGGGGAGAACAGGTGGGTCACCTTTACCAGCTCCCTCCCCTAATTACATCAATAAAAACAGTATAAAACAGCATTGGATTTAAATAAAGTATGAAAGCAATACATAAATATACATACAAAAATATGGACATGTAATAAATCAAATATCATACTACGTAAATGTCAGCGCGGTCTTAACGCTATGCATGTTCCACACCTGCAAGCCGTAGACCATGTACATATGTTGTCTGTGTCAAAGTTGTACTGGAACTTGTTGATTACTGACTGGACAAGACACTGTTTGAATTGCAAAATGTCAGACTGACTTGTCGCTGCAACCCCCAAGGCCCTAACTGGCGTTTCTAGTTTATTCCATTCGGCCACTAGTCGGGGGATGTACGACATTGCAAAAGTGGAATTTTGCAACGACTGGGAATCAGCATGTGAGCCCTACTACCCCTAATTAGTCTAGTGGAGAATGATACATAGTTCTGCATGTGTAAATCATATACATTGGCCAAGGACTTCACAAAAAGCATAATGTCAGCAATCTCTCTCCTGTGCGAAAGCGGTAACATGTTGAGATACTGTAATCTGCCCTTATAGTCGAGGGCACGAGCGCCTGCATCTGCACTTACAATAAACCTGGTTGCCCGCCTTTGCACACCCTCCAACAGGGACATGAGGTTATGGGACAGGGGTGACCATATCTGACAGCAATATTCTAGCACTGGTCTAACCAGTGTTACATATAGGGACTTACGTACCATCAGACTGGATTCGTAACCAACTGTGCGTATAATGAAGCCGATCATAGAATTGGCTTTCGCCACGATTTTCACAATATGACTTTTCCACAACAGGTCAGATTGGGCTAGAACTCCCAAGTCATTCATGCTATTAACTGTATCTAGGGCGACATCTGACATGTGGTAGGTGAAAGTTAATGGGCTCTTTGAGCGAGTTAACCGGAGAACCATACACTTAGTTGGGTGGAAAGACATTCCCCACTGAAGACTCCACTCATGCATGAAAGAAATGTCATTCTGTAACTTATAACAGTCATCAGTGTTACAAATTTCTCTGAAGCATTTAGAGTCATCTGCAAACAACGCTACAATGGAGTGTTTAGCAGTGCTAGGTAGATCATTGATATATAGTAAGAATAACATTGGCCATAAAATTGAGCCCTGAGGGACACCAGAGGTAACAGGGAGCCACTCGGAGTGACGACCTTCGACTTCCACACGCTGCCTTCGGCTAGCAAGGTACGAGTCGAACCAAGACAGGAGATTACCATTAAACCCATACATCTGTAGCTTATGAAGCAACAGTAAATGCGGAAAAAGAAGCGAATCTATCGGAAGTACAAAAGGACGAAAAGTCCAACTCTGTTTACTACATTTAAACACATCCGCAATTCCTGCACAAATTTGATCAGGAAAGCCAAGTTAAACTATCGACTCAGCCGGTGTCTCGATCTCGCAAACCCGACTACAAATCCTAAGAAGTGGTGGTCAGTCTCCAAAGAAATTTTTCTCGGCAAAATTGATCATACAATACCATCTTTGATTGACAATGGATGTGTTATATCCGACGATAAGGCCAAAGCTGATACTTTCAATCAGTACTTTGCGTCACAAACATACCTAAACACAATGGGTGCCTCTCTTCCCCAATTTGTACCCAGGACTGAGTGTACTCTTGATTGTATTACTTGTTCTCCAGCCGAAGTTTATCAAGTCCTGTGTAACCTTGACATAAGTAAGGCCACAGGGCCTGACGGTATAGGTAATAGACTGCTTAAACACATTGCCCCATCCTTGGCTGAACCATTGTCCAACTTGTTTAACTTATCAGTTCAAGGTGGTTGTTTTCCAACAATTTGGAAGCGATCTCACGTAGTTCCAATTCACAAGAAAGGCGACAAACAAGACAAGATAAATTACAGGCCTATTTCTCTTCTATGTTGTATATCGAAAGTCTTTGAAAGAATTGTTTACATGCCACTGTCTTCTTACCTCCTTGAAAACAATCTGCTTACTGATCGGAACTCTGGGTTTTCCCCTGGGGACTCCACAATAAATTCATTGACATATCTAACTCACAATGTGCATCTTGCACTTGACAAAGGACTTGATACACGCGCTGTCTTCCTAGATATATCCAAAGCGTTTGATAAAGTCTGGCACGCGGGGTTAATTTTCAAATTAGAGCAACTAGGAATAACCGGATCTCTTCTAGCTTGGATCTCTTCTTACTTAAACGACCGACAACAGCGTGTCGTGATTAACGGCACCTGTTCTGATTGGGCGCCTGTTGATGCGGGCGTGCCACAGGGCTCGCTCTTAGGCCCGTTGCTTTTTCTCGTTTTTATTAAGGATTTAGTGGATGACTTGGTAACAGACGGCCGTCTATTCGCCGACGATACTTCACTGACCGAAGTTGTTAGAGATCCTGTTATTTCAGCTGATAGACTAAATCATGACCTCAAAATAGTGGAAAACTGGGCAGACCAATGGCTGGTGACCTTTAACCCACTCAAAACTGAACTTATTACATTTTCATCCAAACGTATAAAAATTGCCCACCCACCATTGTATTTTAAAGGAGTTCAGTTAATGGAAGTCCCTTCCCACAAACACCTCGGCCTACATCTTACCCCTAATCTATCATGGTCATTACATGTTTCAATTATAACTGCTACCGCGATGAAACGGATTAACCTTTTAAAAGAATAGTATCCTTTGTTCCACGAAAACTCTTGAAACCTTATAATAAAGTAATGATAAGGCCATTACTGGAGTATGCCGACGTTGTTTGGGACGGATTAACTGGTAAAGACTCTGACTTAATTGAATCTGTTCAACTCAATGCAGCTCGGATATGTACTGGCGCAATGAGAGGAACAAATAGTAATAGCATCTTGTCTGAGGTTGGCTGGGAAACCATGTCATGTAGGCGTCAAAAGCATAAACTTGTAAACTTTTATAAAATTATCAAAGAATTAGCACCAAAATACTTACAGGAATTGGTACCACTACAAACCCGTGACTCCACCCCCTACAGTCTCCGTACTGATCAGAATTACGTCTTAATTCCTGCTAGAACTGAGAAATTCAAAAGATCTTTTCTGCCTACTTCCATTGTTTCCTGGAATAACTTGCCATTAACTACACGAGCATCAACATCAATTGCCATCTTTAAAAAAGAGTTGGAGACGTTTTATCACAGCCCTCACACTCAACCTCACTTCTCCCACGGTCCGAGAAACCCAGCTATCCACCTTACCAGACTCAGACTCAACCGCAGTCAGTTAAACTTTCACCTGTTCCAACATCAATGTGTGCCCAGTCCTGCGTGCAAATGTGGTCACTTCAACGAAACAGCTGTACACTACTTCCTACACTGCCCACTGTACACTGACGAACGCATTGACATGTTATCATCTCTAACTAACATTCTGCCATTTGACACAAACAACGTCACCGACAACACTTTATGTTCAACCATTCTCAGGGGTAACCCCTCATTGTCGTTTGTCAACAACTGTAACATATTTGATGTGGTTTTCAACTTTATTTTGCAGACAGGACGTTTTGTTTGATTTAGTTGATTCATTTTGATTTGTACACCAGCCTACTATGTACCCTTGTCATTTCTTATTATTATTATTACTTTGTTTTATTGTATCCTTTTATGTGTGAGGAGAGGGCTGAGATAAGTTTTATAACTTTTTGCCTCATCCTCGGAAAATAAATGTGAATAAAATAAATAAATAAATGCGGAACAGAGTCGAACGCCTTAGCAAAGTCCAAAAAGAGCATATCGACTTGCCCGCCACGATGAAGGATGGAGCCTACACTGTGGTAAACCTCAAGTAGCTGTGTGGCAGTTGAACGCCCCTTTATAAATCCATGTTGCAGATCGTGA